GGGTTTAATTTCATTTTGTTGCAAAAAAAAAAAAAAAAGATCTCAACAAACTAAAAATACAAGAGAGCTTCCTCAACCTGATAAAACACATCCATGAAACTCTTACCATAGTTTAGAGTACCAGTTCCTCCATATTCTCACCAATATATGGTATAATGATCTTTTTTTTAACTAAACTTTTATGATTATACACACACACTCACATATATATATATTAGTTGTATACACACACACACACATATTAGTTGTAGATGGACAAAATACCTTTATTTTGTTTATTTATTTTTATGTGGTACTGAGGATCAAACCCAGTGCCTCACACACGCAAGGAATGTGCACTACTACTGAGCCACAACCCCAGCCCCTGGTGTATGATCTTTAAATTTCAGATGTTCCAACAGTGTAGTGGTTTAACATTGTGGTTTTGATTTGCTTTTTTTTTTTTTTTTTTTTGGTATAGGGGATTCAACCTAGGGGTACTTAAACATTGAGCTACATCCCCACATTCCCAGCCCTTTTTTAATATATTTTATTTAGAGACAAGATCTTGCTATGGTGCTTAGGGCTGGCTTTGAACTTGTGATCCTCATACCTCAGCCTCCCAAGTCACTGGGATTATAGGTATGTGCCACCTTGCCTGGCTAATTTGCATTTCTAATGAATAATAATGTTAAACATCTTTTCATATGCTTATGCCCTTTGTGTGTCTTCTGTGAAGTGTCTGTTCAAATCATCCTTTTTTTTTTAAGTTTTTTGTTATAATTCAGTGTCAAAGACTTCCTTTTATGCATCCTGGATGCAATTTTTTTTAACTAGATACAGATTTACAAATATATTCTCTCAATATGGTGCTTGCTTTTTCATTCCTTAACAGTATTTTAGAGGCAGGGAGGATAATGGGAATCGAACCCAGAGGCACTTTGTCACTGACCTACATCCCCAGCCCTTTTTTAATTTTTTATTTTAAGATGGGGGTCTCACTAAGTTGCTTAGGGCCTTGCTTAGTTACTAAGGCTGGCTTCAAACCTGCAATCCTCCTTCCTCAGCCTTCTGAGCCACTGGGATTACATGTGTGGGCCACCAAGCCAGCCCTTAACAGTATTTTTGAAGACCAGATGTTGCTAATTTTGATGAAGTCCAATTTACCAATTTTCTCGTTTATGTTATTATGCTTTTGGAATATAGTATTTAAGAAGTTTTTGCCTATCCCAAAATCATAAAAAAATTTTCCTGTTTTCCAGTTTTAGTAGTTTTCCATTTTACATTTAAGTTTATGGTCCATTTTGAGTTAATTTTTAAACATAGTACAAAATACAGATCAAAGTTATTTTGCCTGTGGAAATCCAATTGTTCCCCCTCCATTACAAATAAGATTCTAATTCTACTGAGTTGCCTTTTTATCATTGTTAAAAAGCAATTGACCATACATAAATATATTTATAGGGTCTCTATTCAATATCATCAATTTATTTGTGTTCCTGACGCAAGTACCTCTTTGTCTTCTTGTATCTTTATAATAAATCTTACAATCAGGTAGTATAAGTCCTGCCACTATGTTCATCTTTTCCCAAGTTAGTATGGCTATTCTAGATCCTTCATACTTCCATATAAATTTTAAAATCAGTTTGCAAATTCTACAAATTTTTATTCGGTGGGGATTGTAATTGAGATTGTTTTTTGATCTATTGACAAAACTGGGGAAAACTGACATTTTAATACTGAGTTTTCAAGTCCATGAACACAGCATACGTATTCGCTTATGTAGGTCTTCTTTAATTTCTATCAGTAATGTTTTATATTTTTGTCACATCTCTTGTCAAATTTATCCCTAAATATTTCATATTTTCAAAGTTATCAATTTTTAAATTTCAGTTTGACTGTTCATTGCTAGCATACAAATACAATGTTACTGAATTCACTTATCTGTTCTATTAGGTTTCCTATAGATTCCACAGAATTTCATACTTTCCTATATCAATGATCATATTGTCTACAAATAAAGTTCCCAAATTGCCTAGGGTGGCATCCAACTTGCAATTTTTCCACCTCAGACTCCAGAGTAGCTGGAATTATAGGACTATACCACCACACCCATCTAGATACTTTTTTTTAATGGCTTCATTGTACTGGATAGAATCTCCAGTATAATGTAGCATTAAAAATGAAGTGATAAAAATATCCTTGCAATTTGGTGTCAACATACCTTATATATAATCAGAGATATGATAAATTATGGTATAATGGTGTATTAAGAATTGTAATGCAAAAATAAATAAATAAATAATTTTTTTTAAAAAAAGAACATACTTGTGATTCTTATGTGTGAGATATTCTTAGGCATTAAATGTAATCAAAATATTTAAACATTAAAAAAAATAACCTTGCTTTATTTCTGGCTTTATAAGAAAAACATTCACTCATTCATTACCATTTCATTACCATTAAGTATAATGTCAGCTATAGAATTTTCATAAATGCCCTTTTCAAACTGAGGAATTTCCATCCCTAGTTTCTGAGGAGTTTGCTTACTTTTTGACTTTTTGTTTTGTTTTGTAGTACTAAGGATTGAGCCAAGGGCCTTTAGCATCCTAGGGAAATGCTCATCACTGAGCTACATGCCACCCCCCTATTTTTTATAATTATACATAATAGTGGGATTCATTATGCCATATTTGTATATATATACATAACATAATTTGATCAACCTCATTCCCTAATACCACACAGTCTTTTTTTTTTTTTTTTAAGTTTTGTCCATGATTTCTCTGCATCTACTGAAATAAACATACAGGGGTTTGTTTTTTTTTTTGTCTTAAATGTTCATTTTGGTGAAAACGTTAAACTGATTTTTTTCAAACATTAAGCCTGCATACTTTCTTAAAATAAGGCCCACCTGATCATGATATGTGTATGTGTGCATATACATTATATATCATTTTAATATAATATATATGTGTATGGATATATCTTTAGCTATATTCTATAAATGACATATATTTTCATATTAAATCCATGTGTAGATTTAATTTGCTACAATTTTGTCTCAAGTGTTTAGATTAATATTCATGAGGAATGTTGGCCTACAATTTTTTTTAAAGTAATGTTTACTCCTACCCTACCCCCAGTGCTGGAGATTGAACTAGTAATGTCTTGATTAATTTTGCTAATCAAGGTTAATGTTAACTCAAAATGAGTCAGAAAATATTCCCACCTCTTTAATTTTCTAAAGAGTTTTTGTAAACTTGGTGTTGATTCTTCCTTAAGTTTTGTAAAATTCACCAGAAAAAGCACTTGAGTCTCAAGTTTCTTTTAAGGAAAGAAAGCTTTAACAGCAAACTATATTTCTTTAATCGATAGAGAACTATTCGGTGATCTAAGTGAGCTTTGATACTTCATATCTTTCAATAAATTTGTACATTTCTGCTAGGTTGTCCAAACTGGCAAGAGTTCTTCTAAATATTACCTTTTCTAACATTTATAAAATCTACAGTAGTGTTAACCTTTCTTATTCCTGTTACTAGTAATTTGTATCTCTTCCATCCACTCCCTGCTCAAGGTTTATCAAGAATTCGTGTTTTGGTTTTATTGATATTCTCTACCTCTTTCCATTTTCTTTTTCATTGCTTCCTATTCTAACCTTTATCATCTTTCTTCCACTCTTTGGGGTTTCATTGGTCCTTTTTTTTACTTCATTTACTTAGAAACTGAAATTCCTTTCTAGTAGAGATAGTCTACAAATTTCTCTTTAAATAGATCTTTAGCTGCATTCCCAAAATTATATATTGCATTTTCATTTTATTCACTTCAAAATACTTTCTAATTTCTCTTGTGATTTCATGTCTGACATAGGAATTATTCAAAAGTATGTCATGTGGTGACTAAATATTTGAGATCCTTTTCCAGAAGGTTTTCTTTTTTTTAATTTTTTAAAATTTTGATTTGTTATATACAACAGAATGCCTTACAATTCACATTACACATACAGAGCACAATTTTTCATATCTCTGGTTGTACACCCAGAAGGTTTTCTATTATTGATTTTTAATTTTATTCTCTTGTGATCAAAGGGCGGTATTGTGGAAAGTGTATCACATACTTCTCAGGGAGAAGGCTGAAAAATTCTGACACTGAGGGAAATAATTTAATAAAATAATAATATAAACTGACAGGCCAGCTAAAGGATAATTAGGAAATAACAAAATGTCAATTTGAATACTAAAATATATATTGGTGAGCTAATACACCTTGGATTTGCTTCAAAATAATCCAGAGTGAGGGTGAATGGAGAGGGGGAAAGATCAAGCACAACTGAAGCTAGACAATGGTTCATACTGGTTCGTTCATTATTTTACTTTTTAAAAAATATTTATTTTTTAGTTTTAGTTGGACACAATACCTTTATTTCTTTTATTTATTTTTATGTAGTGCTGAGGATCGAACCCGGGGTCTCACGCGTGCAAGGCAAGCGCTCTACCGCTGAGCCACAACTCCAGCCCCTATTTTACCCTTTTAAACATTTAAATTTTTCCAAAATAAAATGATGCAAGGTGCTGGTATCTCCCGCTCAATTTCAATTCTTCCACGCTGCCGGCGGCCCAGCGCGCCCTGCGCGTGACCTGACACCTCAGTCACGCCGGCTGCCAGCAGCTAACCTTCGCCCCCGGCACCGCAGCAGCACGAAGCCAGCAGGCCTACGGCGGGTCCTCGGGACCTGCGCAGCGGGCGACGCTGCAGCTACATGGGTCAGAGACGCCCAGGCAGCCACACCCACCGGCTGCGTGGTGACAGCTCGCTGGGCTGACCGCCTCACTGACAGGTGCGGCCGCCCGCTCTGCCCCTCCCGGCCGCTGCCCGAGTCCAGCCGCCCACGAGCGCCCCCGTCCGCCCCCGCGCGCACCACCTGTCGGGCCAGTGCGCGCGCGGCCAGCGGTGGACACCCCGCCCATACACCGGAGGTATTGGCAAGACGGCCCGAAGTCCCGAGAAGAAAAGAGTTTTACCGGAGAGTGGGCCCCACGCAGGCGGTGTCAGTGCTCTCGATCTCCTGCAAGATCCGCTCGTGCTCCGGAACGGTGCCCAGGGCCTCGCCGCTCTCCGCCATCTTGGCTGGAAGCTGAGGAGCCGGCGAGGCGCGGCGCCGCGCGAACGCCGGGGGCGAGCGGCAGGTGGCGCGAGCGCGAAGGGCGGGGCGGGGCGGGGCGAGGGGCGGGGGCGCGCCAGCCGGAGGAGAGCAAAATCGCCTCCAGCTTTCTCCCACGACGTGACCCTGGTTGTCTAATGCCTGCCTGGCCTTTGGGCTGTAACGTACACTCTTGTATTCTGTGTGCCAAGGTAATGAAGGAGGTAGCCCTTCGTCACCCTCAATCTGTAATAAAGGATAGGGGATCGCTGAACAAGAGGCCCTGATATTCTTAGTGATGGGGAGTCAGGGAAAGGAAAACATACACTCACAAAAAGCAAAACTGTGTATGGAAGTTAAGTTTATTTTAGGAAAGAATAAAAAAAAAATCCTGATGAGGACCGATCAGGGTGGTTTTGTTTCTCCTGCCCAAAGCTTGTTCACAGAGGCCATTAAATTACATATCATCTAGGAAATAATCACAAACTTAAGAAAAAGTAAACGACAGGAATTTAAGACACTTAATAGCAAATATACAAAAGAGGCCCAGAGCAATGTGTGATTTTATTCCAAAGTCCTTGAACCCAAGTGCCCCCAGGTAGTGGTAGCTGGGATGAGAAGAGATGGGCAGCAGAGTGGTGGAAAGAGAAGTGGGCGGCTTGAGCAAAGGTACCTGTGTAGAAAAGTCCTGCTTAACAACATGTTTGTGGGAGTAAACCAGTTTGTCTTGATCAAAGAAGCCACCGAGTAAGATTAATCAGGGACAGAGTGTGAACCTAGCCTGAGGAACAACTATTTACTGGCCTCCATTAATCCAGGGCTTTGAGCTTCCCTTTGAGTTGGCCAGCCCTGTCACTATCCGCTCCAGTGAGCCTCTGCTAGAAACCGGTCTCTTTCCTCCTCCCCACTGTAAGTCCTGGGAGATGAAATTGCATCATAGATAAGAGCATGAGTTCTGAAGTGTCTTCAACTGAGTTCTTTGGATTAATGTCACTGCACAGTTGTGTGACACTGGGCAAGAATCTAAACCCTTGATTTCTTAGCTTCCCCATCTGTAAGTGAAAATAATAATAGTATCTACCTCATATTGCTGTCTCATATTAATTTTCTATTGCTGCTATAACAAATGACTACAAATAGTAGCTTAAAACAACTCAGGCACATTATCTTACAGTTCTGCAGGTTAGAAGTCTGACATAGTTCTCAATGGGCTACAATACAGGTATCAGCACAACTACATTCCTTTCCAAAGACTCCAGTGGAAAATTTGTTTCTTTGACTTTTCCACCCTCTAGATGCTGCCCATATTCCTTGGCTTATGACCCCCTTCCTTTATGTTCAAGGCCACATTACATCTGATCATTCCTCTGTAGACACATCTCCCTCTGACTCTTAGACAAGAAAAAGTTTCTCTGCTTTTAAGGATCCATGTAATCGGATTGGGCCCCACTGGATAATCCAGGACAATCTTCCAACTCAAGTTTATTAACTTTAGTCACATCTATAACACTCCTTTTGCCATGTTCCATTCACAGGTTCCAGGAATTAGGATGTGAGCATATTTGAATGCTCATTATCTTGCCTGCCACACTTTGTAAGGGTCTTTTTTTAAAAAAAGAATTCTTTAATATTTATTTTTTAGTTTTTGGCGGACACAACATCTTTGTTTTTGTATGTGGTGCTGAGGATCGAACCCCGGCCGCACGCATGCCAGGTGAGCGCACTACCGCTTGAGCCACATCCCCAGCCCCTATAAGGGTCTTATAAATATTATTTATTGCCCCTTCTATTAATCTGAGTCTCTGTCCTTCTTGGAAAATGCAACTCAAAATTTGTTTGCTTCATGAAGATTCCCAAAACTAATCAATCTTCTCCAATGACTACAGACTCAATTTAGCACATTTATCCACTCCACCAATTGTTTTAATAGCAATCACTTATTTTGAATTGATCCTTTTTATACACTTGTGGGTTTTATTTGTTTTATATACTTGATCCTCCATGGAAATTCACTGCACACTGGCAAGGAAAACCAAGTAATTTCTGCTACATACAACTGCCCATTTCATCAGGAAACTCCATTGCAAGCCAGTGTGAATTCATCAAACTTCACCCCTGTTTTCACTGCCTTGATGGTACAAGAGACTCCAGACCTCCCCCTGGGAAACCCCACTTCCTTGTGCTTTAAGAATACACAGAAACAGAAAGTCTCTTCCCAAGTCCACCAGCATTGGCACACCATGGTAAGGTCCTTGAGTTCAGATGACTTTTTTTTTTTAATTTCCAGCTTCCTATACTTCCTCATAGAATTCTGCACATAGATGAGAGGAAACTGGAGGGGTTTTAAAACCAAACAGTGCTGAAGCTCTAAACCCATCAAAATGATTTCAGAATGAGTTAGAAAAGAACATTCCAAACAGGTCTGAATAGAAGGTAGGAGTTTGGATTAATCTGTGTTTGGTGACAATTCAGAATTGAGACAATATAAAATTGTAAAAAATTTCTTCAAACTTGCTCTTCATATATTGACAATAAATATAACATCTTAGGGGCTAGGGATGTGGCTCAGCAGTATTGTGTCCAATTACAACTAAAAAAATAAATATTAAAAAAATATATAACGGGGCTGGGGTTGTGGCAGTAGAGCACTTGCATGGCACGTGCAAGGCCCTGGGTTCGATCTTCAGCACCACATATAAATAAATAAAATAAAGGTATTGTGTCTAACTACAACTAAAAAATAAATATTAAATATATATATATATATATATATATATATATATAAAACATCTTTGTGCTTGCTTCAGCAGCACATATACTAAAATTGGGATGATACAGAGAAGGTTAGCATGGCCTCTGCCCAAGAATGACATGCAAATTTGTGAGGTTCCATGTTTTTCATCTCCTGCCATCACCTAGCTGCCTGCACCTATCCTTTAGAGAGATGGGGTTCATTAAAGGAAATTGAACATTGAAAATAATAATAACAGTAGAAGTTTATTGTATTTAGTCCCCTTGATAGAAACTACAACACTGGCAAAGAATGTTACCTGAAATTCCCTGATGCCTGCTTTTACCAAGAGCTCCAATGTAAGAAACAGTATAAACTGTATCCACTTCTAGTTGTTAAAAAATATATATCCTTAGATCAAACCAAATCTCTTTGTACATATAAATTGTTCTTTTAATCAAATCATAAAGAACAACTTTTTCCTTGGCTAACTGCTTCTTTGATTACTGAGGCTCCAGTACCCATTGTTAGCATACCCCCACTGCAGGTTCAGGGGAGAGAATAAGCCTTTTGAAAATTGAATCTGAAACTGAATCATAAAAATATGAGTACAATTTTTATCTCCTCCTACAGGGAGAATAAAAAGCTAGTCCTCTCTGGAGGAGACAGCAGACTATTCAGCTCAGAGGGTAAACACAACCAGAATTCATGGCTCTGCAAAGTAGAACAAGGCAAGGTAAGGCACATAGATAGCACAGGCTAGCTCCCTATTTGACAACCCTCTCCGGGAGTAGTCCTTTCCTGAGCAATTGTTATCAAGACCTTTTCTCCTTCTCTTCAATCCTGACACCATCTATGGAAACCCAAATCCCAATACCCTGCTCTGGGAAGCCAGGCCTGCTTAGGCACTTCTCTCACCAGGCCTGTTTCAACACCTGCCCATAGAAATTAACTCAACATAGCAGTAGTATCATCTCAAAATTCAACATGGAAGGAAGTTCATTTACCACTTCTTCTGTAACAGTGTTTGCTGTTTCCTCTCTGTGACTTCTGACAGTTCTGTTAGTACCTGAAAGCTTTTGCTACGAATTTAAAGCTAAGTACCCAAAATAACTAGATTTTTTTTCTTAGTGCTGGGCCTCAAACATGTGAGGCAAGCGATCTACCATTAAGCAACATTCTCAGCCTGCTCATTGTAGGATTTTAATCATGGACATAATATAACAAATATATAAATGTGGGGAAAAAAAGCCTACCCAAAAGATAAATAATTTAATTATTCTGGTTTGAGGAGGGGTAGGCGGGGTAGGGGACACAAGCATTTCATGTACATGTTGGTGGCAGAGGATACTGTCCTTTCAGTAAACCACATAACCCAGCATTTAGCATCTTCTTTAATAAAATGAGAATAAAAGCCGACCCACAAGCCAGACATGGTTGTGCACACCTGTAATCCCAGCTAACCTGGAGGGTGAGGCAGGATGATTGCCAAGTTCAAGGCCTGTCTCAACAACTTAGCAAGCCCCTGCCTCAAAATAAAAAATAAAACAGGCTTTGGATGTAGCTCAGTGGTAGAGCATTCCTGGGTTCGGTTCCCAATACCCCCCCAAAAAAAGCAGTCACACAAATGGTACTTTTTCTAACCATTGACAAAGTAGTGTGATTGTGTATTTGGGTCTGTGCACCTGAATCTCATTATTTGTGAACCCCCAAAGGATGGAAAGTCTGAAATTTGTTTTCTGCTGTTATAGAGGAGGAAAGAGGAACACATCTTATTTCCAGATCCACTTTACTTAGTCCTCTGAGTCTTGTAAGGCAAGTGCCATTTCATGGTCCTTGGAGGGAGTGTCCATCCTTTGAGGCACATATTGTGGTGGCAAACAAATTGCTAAGTCTATCTCTACCTCCAGGCAGTGCTCCTAAGCCAGACACAGGGACCTTGTAGTACTGTTCACCCAGTCCACTATCTGGCATGTAGTAAGAGCTCCATTAATATTTGTAAAATGAATTATCCACATGCAAATATTTCTCATGTTAAACTTGATCTTGTAAAAGCATGTTTTATGAAGTAGGATGCATCTCTACAAAAAGATTCTCCCCTGCTCCTGGCTATCCTACAGCAGACTTCTGATCTTTATCCTCTTGAGATTTTGCTAAAAGCATTCAAATGTTTCTTAAGGAGTTTTACAGCCCTTCATGTATAATTGCAAAACTGTAACAAAATGTAAAGCACAAGTAGCCT